CTTTCCCTTCTTGCCCATTTATGTTTAATTCGAAATAGCAATACATATTTTCAATTATGCTGAATTACGAGCGCGTCGATGCGTCCTGGTTCGCTCGCCCTGCGGCTCGTGCAATTTTGACAGAAGCGGAAACGGATTATCGCGAACGACGAACTTTTGCGCGCGGCCAACGCGTATGACACGGGGTATTTCGATTCGCCGAGGGCACGAGAGGAACGAAGGACGGAATCAAATAACGCCCGTGTTACGTAAAGCCGCGTACACGCGTCGAATTTCACGCGCGAACTCGCCTGCTGTGTGTTTGCGCGGCGAATCAGTCCCCTGAAAACATTTCGCTATATCGCTTCGACAAACTTTATGCACGTCAGCGGATTAACGCGCCGAATCACGAGTCAATCGCCGGCGTTATAAACTGTAATACATCAAAACGATTCCCGACTAAACTCGCGGTTTAACGACGGTACCGTCTCGTTTTCTAGAAAACGACAAATTAGTACTGGCGCAAATTTGCCAGGAATAATAATCATCGATAATAACGTGAATGATAATCGATCCTGTGAATCGTGAAGTGAATAAACTTTGCGACGAGATTCTGTATATTAATGCATCGATTTTATGAATCTAAAGTAAGTTTTGTAACATGATATACGGAAATAGATAACTCTAAAAGAAAAAAATTAATTAAATATATATACAATATTAATAGAAAATTCTAAGAGATATGAGCTTAAGAAATTGAAAATAATTTCTATATAAATAAGTTTAACTAGCGATTTTTGAAAGTAAGAGAATTATGAATCTTGACGGGACGCGCGTTGCAAGTATCGTAGTATAGATCGACAAAGTTCAAGGCATCGGTAGACCGCTATTGCGCTTGTTGATGCAAAAGTCGCGGTACGTATACACGTATCATAGTGTCCTCGCGAGCGAGGGTTAACATGCTGGAAAATGTTAGACAACCGCAGCGTGGTTACAGACCGCGCAATGTGTTACAACGATCTGTCTTCCGCGATCCATCAGAACAGGCCCGCAATGCCGAATCTGTGCCCCGTTTAACCGACGCAACAACATTACTTTCGTCGCATCGCGGCGGATAATGTACGACGGCTATTACACGCAACGTAGTTGTAACCTACGGCGAATTTTGAAATCGGTTTGTATCGAAAGTAAATGAAATTTCGATAGCACAATACTCTCTCTCTCTCTCTCTCTGTCCCATCGCCGTTTATAACGCTGAATGCGACCATCTGATGCCGCGATTTATTTGCCCGATATGAAGATCGGGCGTTCGATGTCGACCGAGAGTGATATCGCCGCATTTAACTTTAAATGCGGGATGTGGATGCGGGCTAATGAATTTAATCCCTTCCGGCCCTGCGAATCCTCCGATTGGTGTTGCATGCGTTATATCTGGCGTATACTCGATTTAGCCGGGTACAAAAATGATCGTAAATATACACCGCGCGTACATACACGTGTGCAATGTTATCTCTCCTCCCGTTATTATATTCTATGTTGATTCACATAAATGCAACTTTTCTATTTGTCTCATTATTATATATCTCCATGAATTATTTTTTTACATATCTTTTTATTATCCTAAATTATTACCGAGCATATAGTCTCTCGCGGGCCTATTTGCCCAGCGAAACCAGCCGAATCCAGTATCGAATAGAAATTGATACGATCCATCCGCTTTAACAAAGTTTCACCGATGCGATTTACGCGGTTTTCAAAACGAACGGTCCGTTTATGACACGCATAATGATCGATTTCCTCGATTCGCCAGAACAAAAGGTCGAAATTCGGCAGTCGACGATAGAAATGATTTGGACGAAGGGAGAAATGTATTTACAACGAATCAAGCATCCTATTTATTACGCAACTCAACCGACAATGGTGCCGAAATAAAGCGCCAGTCGGCCGGTTACAAAAACGCGGAAATTATTACGCCGTTCGTCCGTACAGAATGGACGCTGCATGCTTGCTCACATATTTCTGTTTTGCGTAGTTTCCTAGTGTGTTTTATCGTAATAAATTGATACGATCCATCCGCTTTAACAAAGTTTCACCGATGCGATTTACGCGGTTTTCAAAACGAAAACCGCGTCCGTTTATGACACGCATAATGATCGATTTCCTCGATTCGCCAGAACAAAAGGTCGAAATTCGGCAGTCGACGATAGAAATGATTTGGACGAAGGGAGAAATGTATTTACAACGAATCAAGCATCCTATTTATTACGCAACTCAACCGACAATGGTGCCGAAATAAAGCGCCAGTCGGCCGGTTACAAAAACGCGGAAATTATTACGCCGTTCGTCCGTACAGAATGGACGCTGCATGCTTGCTCACATATTTCTGTTTTGCGTAGTTTCCTAGTGTGTTTTATCGTAATAAAGGTTACGCGCCGCGCCGACATAGAAAGTGATGTTTAAGCACATATTGCGGAAACTTGCGAGAACTCAGTTCTCTTTCTCTCTGTCCCTTTCTCTCTTCCTTCTGTCTCAAAAAGAAAAAATTGTCGTCGATAATAAAAAATTGCTATCGTGCATAAGACTCGTAATAGATAAATCTATAAATTCGCGGATCTATAAATTTTGCTCGATTTACATATAAATCGTTATATATATGCAGATCTATACCCGCCGTAAATTATCGAGTCCACACAAACTTCATTCGTTAATAGTTTGACTAACTACGCGCGAATTCATATGTTGTTAAAGCCACAGATTGCTTTATGAATATATTGACAAAATTACAGATCTTATATTTAGGCACATACACATACGAAAATTAAATTCTAATGACGATACTATTTCCAGAAATAATTTAAAATCGTCAGAATAAATTATAATATGATATTTGACACAACGCGTCGTTCATATTCAAAAATATATTCGTCCAAGTGACACTTAAACTGCATTTAATTTGCGAGACGAAAAATATCCATTTCTCGTTTTTGCAAAACTACCTTTATCAAAGCGTTGCTTAAAACGGATATTGATTGCTTTAATTAATTGGAATGTATCGGAACGTGCAACTTCCATCTGCGCGAAAAGTTGTTGCCCGTTGCAGCAATATTTAACTTAAACTTGCATGGACTATACATTAAACCGACACTCGTCGGGCATTGTTCGAATTTCTGCGAGTACAAAAACTTGTAATGCAAGTAACTTCTCGCACAAGTCCCGGCGCTAGTTATTCTTCTGTGTTTTATCAAAGCTGAGATTGGAAAGTTGTGAGGGAGAAAAAAATAAAAGCGCCCGGCTGTGCTTGATAAGAATCTGAAACAGTTTTCGTGTAACGTACATCACGATGGAAAGAGCAATAACAATGACGTAGAAATTCTTCAAGTAGCATATAATACCATGTATGTAATACCGCTCGTTACGACATTTCTGAAATAACTTCTTTCATACAACTGTTTTATAAGTCGGAAACTTTTATACAATTTATATCGTTAGAATTATATCGATGAGGGAAAGAATAAGAAAAAAAGTATGTTTCGAATCATTATAAGAAATATAATTTCCGATGTTTTGATTAAATCTTTAGATAACTTTAACTTTAATATCATATGATTTAATCTGAATATGTTTTAATATAACTAAACATTTTATTTTATAATATCGGAATGACATTATTAACATTATACGTATTTCACGATTTTATCGATTCGTCTATTAATGGTGTTCAAAAGCATAACAATCGGCCGATTAAAATGATCAACGACGAATTCGAAGGGTTGCGCGACATACGTACCTATGTATTAAGATGCACGGCAAAAAAGAAGCGCACACTCGATATTTCACATCCCGGCGACATTATAAACGCCGTCAACGCGTGTCAACGAAACGAAGAGTAGATAAATTGGGAAGAAAGATTTCTCGTCGCGCGACGAAGGGATAGAAAATCGACCGGTGTCTTAAATATTTTTATCCTCGTAAAACACGATACGCCACCGCAGCGTGATCGATAGCTTTAGCCGAAAACGACGAGGAGAAGAGGACTATACATCTTACTCCGTAACGACGTATCCGATACTTTCCCCGGTCGTCGGATTAAAAAGCTCCACGATGCACTTGGCGCATATTTCAATCGGGGCGCAACAACGTCAAAACTTGGC